CCATTGAAAAATATATTTAAAAACAAATTGTTGAGAGATGGAAAAATCTACCAGTGCAAACTATTACATTGAAAATGGGGGAGTTGGTTATATATATAGATTCATTTCAAATATGCAGTATCTTAAGAATATTTGTGAAGGGTTTGTACAGTTGAACAATCTGTTAAATTATGTTTATATTAACTTTTAATTGTAGTTGAAACTTATATTTATTTTTGTCTGTGTACATTTACTTTGAAAAGATTCATTCATTTATTGAGCAGACAGTACTGATTACCTATAATGTTCAAGACTGTTAAGCACAGGGTGAGTGAGCAAAACAGGTGCAAGCCCTACTTTCATTGAGATCAAAGCCTAGTGGGGGACATAGACTTAAACAATTACACAAATAAATACATACATAATCACAGATTATAATACAGGTTATGGAGAAAACAGGAGGTGCTGGGGATGGAGGAATGCTTTGGAATTTTATTTTTAAGACTAAAGGGGTGCTATTGGAGGACTTGGAGCAAGCGAGTGACATGATCTACATTTAAAAACTATCACTTGCTGCTATGTGGAGAATATATCATAAGAGTAACAGCAGGGATACCTGCTAGGATGCAATTGCAGCAGATTGAGACAAAATAGTTATCATGGACTAGGGGGATGGATGGTGATGGTGGTGCTTGGATGTAAGGTATGTTTTGAAGAGAGATAATGAGGCAAAATTTAGGGTCAGTTGCCTATGTAATTTTTCTTTGTAAGACATTTTAGGATGCCATGTTAAGCATCTCTGTTGTAACTATCTTTTAAAATAAGCCATATTTCCTTATCATCATTTACCATAAGAGGCATTGCTGTTTGTAAGACTGAATATTTGTAAGGCTCTAGGTAAACACTGTAATTGCCTTCCAAAAGGATCTTGCCTGTTTATTGTATCACCATGTATGTTTGAACTTTATTTACAATTTGCTCTTGCCAGTATAGTACCTTTCATTTGGAAAAGTTTTTACTACTTCAGTAGCTGAAAAAATGGCACTTTAGTTGTAAGTGAGGGAAATATAAACATTTAATATTTTACTATGATTAATATTTTATTAATCATATTAATTATATTAATATTAAATATTAATTAATATTTTACTATGAGCTAGTTTAAGTGACAAGTTTTCTAAAGATATTAGTAACCTATGTAAACCTGATCTAAAAATTCACTTTTTAAAAAGGCTAGAAATAATACTCATTAAAAATTTTAAGTCTTGATCATTTTCTTTGCTCTATCATTAACTAGTTTCATTGTAGAATCTCTGTGTTTTTAAATTGATTTGACTTTGATAACCAATACTTTCTCAGTGTGGTGATTTTTTTAATATAAAGGGAATAAATAATATGTTGAGAATATTTTAAATTTGTGAAGTTATTTTATTAGCTTACAGCTAATAAAGGGAGTTGACAAACTTTTCTATAAAGAATCACATGGGTCTTTTGTGTCTTTGTCACAATCTTTTTTTTTTTTTTTTTTTTTTGTCACAATCTTTTTTTTTTTTTTTTAAACAACCCATTTAAAAATTGAAAAATTGTTCTTAGCTCATGGGCCATACAAAAACAGTGGGTAAGATTTGGCCTCTGGGCAATAGTTTGCTGAACCCTTATTTAGACTCTAATCTTTGGAAAGATTTACATTGATGCATAATATTTTTTTTCTACCCTCACAAGTTGCCCCTTGAACAACGTGGATTTAAACTGCTCAGGTCTACTTAATATGGGGATTTTTTTTCCCAATCAAATGTATGCCTCCATATATGAAGAGCCAACTTTTCTTATAGGTGGGTTCCCAGGGCCAACTGCGGGGTGTGTTCAAGCGTGAATTTTGGAATGGGGTACTAGGGGCATGACCTGGAACCAATACCCCACATATACTGAGGATATTTCTTTTATCATGGCTAACCTCAAGTTGGAGTAAAATCTTTATTTGTATGTCATTTTTGTTGTGCTTGCTTTCCCCTTTCTCTTCATACCCATCAGTTCTTTTTAGATCATATTTCATCATTTAACACTTTTTGTTCTTTAGTTTTTACCAAGTTGCACTGCCTTTTTCTAAAGCTCAGTGACTGTGCTTCTAAGGATAAGGATTCTAGTTAACTTTGAAAATACTGAATTTTTAACCTATACCCGTTTCTAATCAGTATTGTTTATGAGTAGGTTGTGGATTACTTTTTTAAATAACTGAAAGTGGATCAGAACTTTGCTGTCGATGTTGTTAGGATCTGAAAAGGAAAAGATAATGGGAATGAGATTTATCAGTGAATAGGGACTGTTCTCCCAGTTTCTCAGTCCCTTTGGTGGAGTACTCATCATGAAAATATGAAATACATGCAAAAACTAATAGCCCACATTCCAGTTGAGAATCTCTAATCCGAAATGCTGGGGACCAGAAGTGTTTTCAGATTTTGGATTTACAGCATACAGATAGGGGACCTGACTGATAAGTAAAGAGTGAGAGAGGACAGCAATAGATAAGGAAGTCTGGGGTCAGTTTTACATGCTCTGTAGCCACACCCGGGTAATGGATTGACTTAAGACAGTGTACTCCCAATTCCTGCTTTTTCATTATTCTTCAAAAACACTGGTTTTCAATAATCTACAAGAGTTCTTTCAAGCAGTTAATTAAGGGAATAGGCCAAAATAATAAAATGTCAACCAAATGTTCAAATCTTTATTAAAGAGCTTCTTAAGGAATAAACATCCATTGTTGTTTTTCCTAACTGGTGAGATAATTGTTTTATAGATAATGTGGAAAATACAGTATACTTTAAAAGATAAGAGATCATAGTATAATATGGTAGTTTTTCATACTTTAAAATTGAGAGCCAAAGAAAGAAGTACATTTAATATAGCACCTAGTACCAAAAAAGAGATAAATAAGAATCTCTTCAATTTATTGCCATGAAGGCAGCCTTTATTAACATTTTGATGTATATGCCACCACTTTTTAAATATATGTACGATTACATTTATACAAATATGTACATATACTTTGTTGGGATCATACTACATATCTTTGTATTCTTATATTGTAAACATTTGTCAAACATTTTACTGCAAATGTGATTTTTAATGACCATTTTCTCTCTCTAAATGATAGTTTCTGTAAAGTAATTCATGAACTAAGGGCACTTTGGTACTACAGTTTGAAACAATAAGAAATAAAGCCTTTATACTTTATATCCATTGTCAGCCCTGCCTCTTATTCCATGGCTTCACATTGTACCATCCTTTTTCCTTATTTTTTGAGGCCTGTTTTGGCAGAGTGTGTAAGATCTTAGGTATAAGTATTACTCAAAAGTCAGAGGAAAATCAAACTTTCATTTCAAGATTCTGTTGAAGTTATCTGTCCCCTTCCTTTACTCAGTCTTATAGTTGCAAAGCCTCTTCAAGATCTCTTTTTCTTCCTTTTTTTAAAGAGGCCTCTTAGAATTTGCAGATTGAAACAGTTTTGCTCTTTAGAATTATGGTATCCATCTGTCTGTTAGATATTGTTCCTAGGGTTTTTTCACAAGTGGATGAGGGCATTAGAATCTTGAGTATTGACCATTTTCTTATGTATTCCTTTTACTATACATAAAATAGATACATGACAATTATTTTTAGGTTAATTGGGTTTTCTTGTCACCTGAATCATCTTGAATAATAGAATTGGTAGAGCTGTCCCATTTGTGTAATTATTTTCCTTTAGAGGTAATTTTTTGTTACTAATATGTACACTTGAATTGTTAAATATCTCTGTATAACACCTTTTAAAAATCTTTTTGTGATAAAATGTACATAAAATAAAATTTACCATTGTAGTTATTTTTAAATGTACACTTAAGTGGCATTAGTACATTCATAATGAGCAACCATCATAATTTTATGTAACCATTAGTACTATTTTCAGAACTTTTTTGATCATCTCAAACTGAAACTCTGTACCCATTAAACAGTAACTCCCCAGTCCTCCCTCCCCCTTCCTTTGTTAACTTCTGTTCCACTTTTTTTCTCTATGAATTTGCCTATTCTAGGTACCTCATATAAGTGAAATTTTGTAATATTTGTCCTTTTGTGTCTGGTTTATTTAATTTAGTACAATGTTTTCAAGGTTCCTCCATGTTGTAGCATGTACAGGTTGAGTATCCCTTATCCAAATGCTTGGGAACAGAAGTGTTTGGATTTCAAATGTTGGAATATTTGCAAATACTTACCCAGCTCAGCATCCCTAATCCAAAAATCTGAGATCAGAAATGCTCCAGTGAGCATTTCCTTTGAGCATCATGGTGCTCAAATAGTTTCAGATTTTGGAGCATTTTGGATTTCAGATTTTCAGAGTAGATATGTTCAACATGTATCAGAATTTTATTCCTGTTTATGGTGAATAATGTTCCATTGTATGTATATACTACATTTTGTTTCTCTATTCATTTGTTAATGGACACTTAGCTGTTTCTTCTTTGGCTGTTGTAAATAGTGCTGCTATGAATATTGGTGTGTAAGTATCTGCTAGAGTCTCTGTTTTCAGTTCTTTTGGTTATATACCTAGGAATGGAATTGCTGAATCATGTGGTAATTCTATGTTTAACTTTTGAGGAGCTGCCAAACTGTTTTCATAGTGGCAGTGCCATTTTACATACCCATCTTCAATATGCAGGATTCCACTTTCTCCACATCCCTCACCAACACTTATTTTCTGGTTTTGGTGGGAGGAGTGAGGGGGGTTGTTTTGATTTTTAAGAGTGGCCATCATAATGGGTGTGAGGCGATAATGTCATGAGTTGGATTTTCATTTCCCTAATGACTGATGGTATTGAGCATCTTTTTGTGTGCTTATTGGCCATTTTTCCATCTTTGGAGAAATGTCTCTTCAAGCCCTTTGCCCATTTTTGGATTGGGTTGTCTTTTTGTTATTGAGTTGCATGTAACACCTTTTTAAAAGTAAAAGGTACACTGTAATAATCCAGACTATGTTTCTCCCTTCTCAGGATTCCTACAGGAAGCAAGTAGTAATTGATGGAGAAACTTGTCTCTTGGATATTCTCGACACAGCAGGTCAAGAGGAGTACAGTGCAATGAGGGACCAGTACATGAGGACTGGGGAGGGCTTTCTTTGTGTATTTGCCATAAATAATACTAAGTCTTTTGAAGATATTCACCATTATAGGTGGGTTTAAGCTGAGTATAATAAATTGACATTGAGGATAATTATAGTTTTCATTTATTGAGTCTTGCTAACCACCATGCATATATTATCTAATTTCAATTTTAAAATAATTTTTGTGAGGTAGGTACCACGTTTTAGAAATGAAATTTCATGGGGATTAGAGAAGTGGAGTAACTTGATCCAGATTGCATACATAGTGGTGGCACTGGGATTGAAATTTAGACCCATTTGACTACAAAACCTTCTGTACTGTTAACCACACTACACTAGAGAAGCAAGACTGTAAACTTTTTAGATACAGCATAAAAATGAAAGCTGTAAACAAAAATATGGGAAAGTAATTTGAGATGGTAACACTTGAATAGTCTTAAGAATAATCACATATACTTAGTAGAGGATTTCTTGGACTGGATAAACAACTCTGAAGTAAATGATTGAAGCATTAGAGCAGTTACAGATTTTTTTTTCAAATCTGACAAATCTGCATGAAACTGACTACTTGAATCATTGTATTAAATATGTTTATATTCTGTTTCTTTAAGGGTTTGCGATTTTCATAAAACTGCATATTAAAAGAAATATTCCACTCATTAGCTATGTCATGTAACAGTGGGTTAGCCTAGGTAAGAGGTTTAACATTTTATTTAAGAACATTTATTGTAGCATGTTACTCTATAGTCTAATAATAGAGAAAAAGAAATTTGGGTGAGTAGTAGTGGTAGTATTTTTGTGGAGTAGTAAATATGTGAAATTGTTAACTTATCTGTGTTTACCCAGCTAATAAGTAGAGGAACTGGGAATTTGAACCAGTTCTAACTCTGTTGTCTACTCTGCTCTTTTTTCTCATGTTATATCTTTGAAACTCACCTAAAATTGTGAAGAAATATAATTTTGTTCCAATTTAGAGTTTTTAGGCACATCTCATTGAAAATTAGCAGCATGTAGAAGGGCTTTTAACAGAACAAACAGTGCAGTAACTTCACTGTTGTCCACCTGGAAATCAAAGTTTTTCCATTTGTTACTTTCTCTGTTTTTTTGAGAAAGTTATATGAAAGTTATGTTATTACCATAGTTCAAGTTTTTGTAAAAATATTTTTATATACATATATAATCACATGTATAACATGTTTCTAAGATTATTAGTATAATTTTTAAAATTAGGCATAGCATTTTGGGTCTAGAATTTTTCAGTATTTTCTGTTTTATCATTATTATCTACCTGTATATGATCCTATTAGATTGTAGTTTTACCATACTTTTAAGTGTTTGATCTTTGAAGAAATATATATGGTCTCTGTTTACAGTGGAGAAAAATATAGAAGGAGAAGCGAGGAAAATTTGATATAGTGGAAATTAGGAATTACATTGTCTTTTAGCCAAATTTTATAAAGCAAAAGTTGTGAATAGTTTTTGAAAGATATTTATGTTACTCATGTCTTTGCTATAATTTTTTTTTTCTTTCTCAGAGAACAAATTAAAAGAGTCAAAGACTCTGAAGATGTACCTATGGTCCTAGTAGGAAATAAATGTGATTTGCCTTCTAGAACAGTAGACACAAAACAGGCTCAGGACTTAGCAAGAAGTTATGGAATTCCTTTTATTGAAACGTCAGCAAAGACAAGACAGGTAAGTAAAACTATAGAATAAATAAAACTCTGTTTTCTGTAAAATGTATCAAGTGATTTTAATCATTAATCATAATTTACTTATTTATATTCTAATAATATCATTTAAACAGCAGGAGGGCAAGGACATTAATAAATATACATGCCAGATAACATAAATGTTGTTATGTTACTTAATGTGATTTATCAATTTTTCTCTCCATTATGCTAATATAGAAAATAAAAGTTTTTATTTGGCAAATGTTCTCTTGAGAGGGCAGTGCTTCTTAATCCAGTGTCTATGATAATACTTTTGGCTTTTGTTTCTTTCCACATTTAAAATTTCTCTTCAACTCTGAGCACATCTTACATTTAGAATTTAAGAGATGTGGGAATTTTTTCAGTGTTATATACATAAAGACATAGAACAGGGGAACAAAATTTGAGTTTCCAATTTTAGAAGTGCTTTTAAGAGTACTATATCCTTTTAGATTAAATTTTGTTATATTTGAAGAATTTTACTTTGGTGGAATTGAGGACATTTGGAGAAAGTTTTCATTAGAGCAAGAGAATACTTAGAAAATAAATAGAAATTCTCAGTTATTCATTCACTGTTTTCTGACAAAAATTAATGCCAGGTGGAACCTGAATTTATTTAAAAAATAATCTTCATTTTAAAAATAACTTTTTCTCGAGGTAAAAATAAAATAATTTCAGTTGATATCATTTAACCTATTTGCATGAAACCAGTTTAAGATGCAGAAAAAAAATCCTAAAAAGGATTATATAAAGATAAGAAGGCATATAATTTTCATATACAGTCATGCATTGCTTAACAGTGGAGATACATTCTGAGAAATGCATTGTAAGGTAATATCGTCATATGTACTTCACACAAACCTAGATAGTATAGCCTGTTACACGCATAGGCTCTATGGTGTACCGTCTTGCTCTTAGGCTACAAACCTGTACAGCATGTTATGGTACTAAATACTGTAGGCAATTGTAACACAGTGGTAAGTATTTGTGTATCTAAACATAGAAAAGGGTATAGTAAAAATATGGTATGAAAGATTAAAAAAATGGTGTACCTGTATACTTAACCATGAATGGAGCTCACAGGACTGGAAGCTGCTCTGGGTGAGTAAGTGAGTAAGTGGTAAGTGGATGTGAAAGCTTAGGGCATTACTGTATGCTACTGTAGACTTTATAAACACTATACACTAAATTTATAAAAAAATATTTTTCTTCAATAATAAATTAACGTTAGCTTACTGTAACTTTCTTTATAAACTTTGATTTTTCTAATTTTTTGACTCTTTTGTAATATTTAGATTAAAACATAAACACATTGTACAACTGTACACAAATATATTCTTTATATCCTTATTGTATAAGCTTTTTTCTATTTTTAGAATTTTTATTGTTTACTTTTTAAACTTTCTTGTTAAACATTAAGACATGCACATACATTAGCCTAGGCCTACACAGGGCCAGGATCTTTGGTGTCACTGTTTTCCACCTCCACATTTTGTCCCACTGGAAGGTCTTCAGGGGTTATAACACGCATGGAACTGTCATCTCCTATGATAACAACGCCTTCTTCGGAATACCTCCTGAACAACCTGCCTGAAGCTATTTAACAGTTAACTTTTTAAAAAATAAGTAGAAGGAATACGTTCTAATGATAAAAATATAGTATAGATAATACACAGACCGACCAGTACTATAGTTATTTATTATTATCAAGTATTATATACTGTACATAATTGTATGTGCTATAGTTTTATACAACTGGCAGCACAGGTTTGTTTACATCAGCTTTGGCACAAATGTAGTGCATTGTGCTATGTTGCAATGGCTACAGCATTATTAGGCCATAGGAATTTTTCAGCTCCATTGTAATGTTATGGGACCATCGTCATATATACAGTCTGTCGTTTACTGAAATGTTACGTGGCACATGACTGTACTAAGAAATTGATTAATTTATGTTCCATAAATTTGTTAGGGCTTTTGCTGGTTACATGTATCTGTGAGCCCAGAAAATTGATTTTGTAGAATTTAACTTCTATAATGCTAGTAGTTAAAAAAAAGATATGATGAACAACTCATTACATTGTTAAACTTATAAAAATGGACACTCTGGAAGTTTTATTAAATTTTGTAAAGGTAAAAATTTAAACATAAGTTATTATTCAGCTAGTATATATGTCTTATTTCCCTACTGGGAGATCATATGTACCTCTTCCTAGTTATACAGTTTTGGTACATAGTAAAGAAACAGTGAATTCTATTTTATTAATAAGCCTTTGTTTGGGGATTAGCGATTGAATTTCTGTAGTTTGATCACCATACAAATATCTCTTCTCTGGCAGTTTTACTAAAACCTGATTTATAGATTAAAGAAAGACTTGATGTACTTCACTTCACTTTAAAGGAATTAAGATTTCATTTAAATCCATTCCCAGGTTTCAAAGACTGGGAGGAGGCTTGGTTTTTGTCTCCTTTTTACTAATCTTTCCTGGCCAGTCTGCTTGATTTTCCTTAGGCACTCAGAAAACATGATTCTAATATTTATAACTTTTTCTTCCAACATTTTCTTATGAAATACTTTCTAATATAAAATTGAAAGAATTTCATTGAAAACCTGCAAACCTACTACCTAGATTCCATCATTATCATTTTATTATACTTGCATTATTTACAACTTTTAAAAGATGCTTTTTAGACTGGGGAACATTTTAGTTTACATTTCACAAAGAAAATACTGAAAATACTGTGCCTAAAGTTTTAAAGGGTTGTGATAGAGAAGTGCTTCTTGTACTTTCATATGCATAGAAATCAACTGGGTTTATTAAAATCCAGATTCTAATTGAGCTTAGAATTAATTCATTAATTAATTTAGGCTGGGACCTGTGATTCTGCGTTTCTGACAAGTTCCCAGGTGATGCTGGTTTTGGTGCAGGGTCCATCCACGCTTTTGAGTAGAAAGGCAGTAAAGAACAATAAGAGGAGTCGTCCTGTTATTCCCACAGTATTGTTTTCTACTTCTTATTTGATAAGTCTAGATGAGCTGTGTCTCCTTTTTTTGTTGTATGATTACTACCTCAGAAGTACTAATCTATTCTTGCTATTTGACATTAATACTTAAATATAACACAGCATTCATATTTGATCAAAAAACCACATGGCAGTTTCTTTTAAAATAGATTTTTAGGTTTTATACTGTTTTGTGGCCTTGGCTGGTTTTTTTGTTTTTTTTTTGTTTGACTTTTTTGAAGATGTATGATATGTAAATAGATATACTTACATTTGCTTTGTAGACATTTATGTGGACCATCTAATTAGAATATAGAGGAATATAATAGAAAAGAATATTTGTACATCTTAGCACTTAGCCTTTTTTATATCCTGTCTTATTGGTGTTTTTATGTAATCTATGTTGTTAAACTATAACTCAGATATTTAATTTCTGTTCTTTGATTTTTTTATTAAGTGGACTTGCTTTTCTTAGAAATTAATTTGCCTTTGAAGGGTTTATTCATCTTCTTTTGTTGAAATTAATATTTGCATGCTTTTGGAAGACTTTAAAGAGCTAGTTCAAGTAACTGTAGAGATTATAAAATGAAATAAATTTACATCTCCAGTTTGTGAAGCCCTGCTATCTACAGAGTATTTTATTACTCATCTGTTTGGTTTATTTCTTATTTAAGCAAAATTAATGTGTATTCTTATTTTATCAGCAATTTGTTTTGTACTGTAATTTTTTATCTTGATCATGAGCCTTAAAACACAAACATCAAAAAGAATGATTTTCAAGTTATAGAACAGAACATTCATTTAGAAATTCTTGTTGATATAAATCAGGGGGTGGCAGACTTTTTCTGTAAAGGGCCAGATGGTAAATATTTTAGGCATTGAGGGCCACAAGTGGTATCTGTTGCATATTTCTTTTTTATTATCATTATAACCTTTTAAAAATACAAAAACCATATTAGCTTGTGCATAGTACAAAAATAATCTGTGGCTTTATTTGGCCCATGCGTTGTAGTGTACTGATTCTCTGGGTAACTTTAGTGTTTGATTAAACACTAGAAGTTAGATCAGACTTTCAACTTAACCCTTTGCACTCGAATGTCGAGTGTGGATAATCTTGAGTGGATAATGAGAAAAAAGGAAGCGAGTGCAAAGGGTTAACCCTTAGTAATTGTAAAGTAAAACTTAAGTATTTTGTGAAAGAGAAATAGAAATTTTACCCTAGTACTTTTTAAGCTAAGGATTGCAGAATATATATTTTTACTAACTTAATTCCTTTGTAATTTTAAAAAAGCCCATTACCTGACTAGAGCATAATGCATTATATATTTTTTACAATCAGCTTACTCCATATCTGAAAGGCAAAAGGAGTTATTTTCTGCTAGGACCACATTGTTTGTGGTCCCCATGTTCCCAGTGTATAAGGACTGCTGTCTAGTTCACGTTTATCTGGGCAGTTTAGTAATTGACAGATTTTTCTGGTCCCTTTGGATAGTGTATGGCAGTGTTGGCAAAAGCTGATGAAACTGAAAGATTGACACCATTGGAATCAGCTGTGTATTTTCTAGTCTGCTAAAGTCAAAAGTGGAGAGGGTTCAGTAAAGTGAATGACAGAAGCAGAATTTTCAGAGTATCTGCTACTCCTGATTCAGCTTTTGCTTTCTGGAGGTCTCAATTTGAACATAATATAAAAATTAGTTTTATGAACTTAAAAATGTTGAGTGATTTGCTGGTTTTGTTTCTAGATACTTAAAATAAGTTGTTAGAAGAACTCCATTAACAAAAGCTCATGAATTATTTTAACAAGGCAAAACAAACAAAAAAACCTCCTATGTGCCATACCGCTTTGTTTAATAATAGTTGTTTGTGTACATCAGATCGATATTTTGAACTTTAGCTTATGAGTTAAAAATTGACAAAATAATTACTAAGCATCTGCTGTGTACCATGGTATCCTCCCAGTAGTGATTTTGCTATATTTTAATTATACCTGAGGTGAGCTATAGTTTTTGGCAAAGTTTCTTGAGAAAGTCAAGTATACAAATTTGGTTTTTAGAGTATATCTTGTTCTTTCATTCCGTTCCCTCAAGAAGGCCAGTATTCTTACATCGGCATATAATTATTTCTTGGTGTGTTATTTCCTTGACAGAGTTTTGCAGAAATTTTTACAGATTGAACAGGAATAAATACTTTTTTAAAACAAAATCTCTTAGTGAAAACACCAGGATATAAAATGATGATTTGGTTAATAGTTCTTCCTCAGTATGGAGTGCTCTGTTTCCATAGTCTCACAAATATGTTTTCGGTGATAGCGGAGCTGAAAATATTGTCAAATCTCTTGATTTAAAAAAAGATCTACATCTTGTAAAGTGTACACTTTTGTTCCCACATAAATATTTTCATTTGTTTTTAAGAGTTTTATAAGTAATATTTGAAAAAGAGTATATGTGGCCACAAGCCATATCTCCAGAATAAATCATTGAGTGCCAGTTAACAGCTTAGCAGCTAGCCACAGTACATATTAAATAATCTGTTTTGGCCATAGTCCATCTTAAAAAATTATCTATAAATTTTAGAGTATGAAACCAATGTTCTTTTTCATAGGTATATACTGTATTTGGTTTTCTAAAATAAGAGCAAATGCCAGTGGTTTAAGTGCACACAAGGATAAATAACAATGTTCTCATTTTCTCTTGATGTCTGTATGACTTTAAAATATGTTATCAATAAGTATCTAATTTAAGCCTGAAAAAATATGGTAAATGACAGATTCTTTCAAATCAAATTTAAATTTCATATTAGTAAAAGTAAGAAATGGAAAAAATCACTCTGAAATAACTATTTTTCAGTGTCTGAGCCAGTGAGGTCTTAACACTGAATTCTTGGTGGTGGATGTAATCTCTTCTTTTTAATTATTGGCTTCCAATTCTCTCTGCATTGCTGGAAACAAAAATCATGTATCCTGGTATTGGTGATGGGGATGCTCACAATGAAAAAATAGACACATTCAAATTGATTTTAGAAATGAATTACAATGAAAATTTGTTTCTGCTAAATTAGTGGAGAGCCAAAGCAGTTTTTTCCCCCTCATAGCATGTTTTGGTGCTTCTATATTGACCTTATAACTTTTTTTCAAACAGGCATAAAAGTTTACATTCTAAAAAATTTAAGAAAATATGAGCTTTTACCTGGTTTGTATATGTAGATATATATATATTTTAAATTTCTTGCATTAATTTTCATATTGAAAGTCATTTATGAAAATATAGTAAATGACAGAGTTGAGGTTTTACATTTTACATGCTTTATGAAAGAGTTGTTTTCATGTCTTAAATTATATTGCTTAATAATAAAAAGTTCTAATATATAATTTTTTCAAGGATAAATGAGTAAAAATAATTAACCCTGCCCTCTTTAGGATTAATGATAAAATATAAACTATTAAAAACTTTTATATACAAATGGGGATGTAATTTAAAGTGCTAACATATTTAATGATTTCAAAAAGTGCTTGGAAATTTTTATTCCTAGTTGGCTCAGCTAGCTAGTTGATTAAATTGATTCCATTAAAAATAAGATAAATAATTTCTTGAGCTGTAATGATTTTTGTTGTTAGATACTTGAAATATATCATTGAATGGTGTATGGTAGTAACAGGAGATATGCATTTTAATATATAATTGCATTGCGCAATCCCTGCTTTTTAACTGAAACTTAATTTTATGAATTTTAAGTTAAAATTTTACTTTAAAGGTAAATTAGTGAACTGTACTGAAGCAGTTCTTAATGTATTTCTAAGATTTATAAAAATTAATATGCCCTAAAAAATTGAAGTGTCTTTTTCTTAACTATTGTAGGCAATGGATATACACATGACTTCTCCATGCAAAAGTTAAGCCATAGCCTGGCCAACATTGCCTTACTTTAGTTGATACTTAGTGGCCAATTCTCTGTACCTGATTGAATTTAAAACTACAAATCATACTTATATATATATAATTAGCTTTTAGGTGCAAAGGTCCATTTTGTCACTTTTGGTTCAATAGAAACATTGATGTTACCAATCCCAGAAAGCTCAAATATGCTGGTCCCCAAATTAAATAATTCATTCTTAAAATTAAAAAGAACAGAATAAGCTTAAAATTAATGTGTAGTAAAATATACTGGCTTTCCTAAGCACTTAACTCTTTCTTTTAGAAGAATGAACACAAATATTACATCTTTTAAATTAATCTGCACTACATGTAGATTAGTTTCTGTGTATTTCTTTTTTAGAGTCTACTTTGGTGATGTGTTTTTCTGGACAAACTAACAGTATAGTTAACTAAGCACTTTTTATATGCTTTGGCTACTGCCTAATTTTCTGGATTGGAAAAGATTAGAAACTTTCTCCATATGGCCATAAATGATTGTGCTTGTCATAGCTTTCTTATCATAGCCTTCAGCAGGAAAAACCTCTTTGCAGAATTTAAATTAGAATAGAAGGTACAAAGCCAGTATGGATTGTACACTATTCTGAAAATTATTTTTAAGACTTATAGTAAGGATACAAAATGTTCCTATATTACATGTGTATTTTAAACAGTTTATATGTTTTATATTATGGCAAATAGCCATCATTTAACATTTTAATTTGAATAATATATTTATCCATTCACAAAAGTTACAGTTCAGGCTCCACCTGTGGACCCTGGAAATAGACTGAAAAATTTTATAATTGAAAATAAAATTCAAGATTACAGTCTCTTCGTTCACCTTTATTTTGAGATCCTTTTTGTGTTTTAGCAAAGGTTTTTACATCCCTGTTGTACCATTTTTCTTCCCACTGGAATCAGTAGTACATAAGTAGTCCTGATGTGAGTCAGTAATACATAAATAACCTATTTCCCTAAGTCAAAGAAATAAACCTAACTTTAGTTTAAGTTTTAATTCCAAGACTAGCAAACTAAAATAATTGCATTAAATTGATAAACAGATACCAATACATCTATTTGGGTTTTTTATAATTGTTCCTGATTCCTAATTAAAATTTTTAAATTCTAATTCCATTAGAAAACAAAACTGACTTTCAAGAACAAACCAGGATTCTAGCCCATATTTTAAAACTGCATCCTCAATTTTAGCCAAACAATCTGATGTCTGTTTTAAAAAAAATTCTTAAGCTCCTAATTTCAAACTTCTTGCACATGGCTATCCCAATAAATTACTCTTACCATTGAAACAGACTTTAAAGAAGTTGTGTTTTACAATGCAGAGAGTGGAGGATGCTTTTTATACATTGGTGAGAGAGATCCGACAATACAGATTGAGAAAAATCAACAAAGAAGAAAAGACTCCTGGCTGTGTGAAAATTAAAAAATGCATTATAATGTAATCTGGTAAGTTCAGCATATTAATTTTGGCAGAAAGCAGATGTCTTCAAAGGTAACAAAGTAGCAACCACTGTGGAACTACTTAGGTGTGGTATTCTAATTTGAAGAATTAAAAGAGAAGAAACTTTTATAGTCTGTTTCCACAATTAATACATTTATCTTTAGTTTAAAAGGTATTAATTATAATTGAGACAATTTTGATGGCTATAGTAGACTAATCTACATTCAGCATAAGGTCTAATGATGTAATTAGTCTTATGTAAAGTAAGCATTTGGGAACTGATACTTTTATTTTTAAGGGAAATCACACTGAGGTTTTGAGATCAGCAGCTTTTGATTTTTCTTAGAGAAATGGAAGAAATGGTATAGAATGATAAGATTGAGTGTTCTAGAAGGTGGGGAAAGAGCCACTCTTACAATGTATTTACCTTTGGGACATTTCACAAGCAAACGACTATTCTGCCTGTGTTCTCCTATTCAGTGGCATCAACAGCACTGGGAAGTTTAGGATGACTCCTACCTCCTCCTTTTCACCCCACAAGCTTGTGGGGTGGAAGCAACCACATATTTTGTGATGTTACATTCCATGTCTTTTATCACATCATTAGTTCAGGCTTCTGTTATTTCTTGCTGGGACTGTGTACAACCCCCCATTTGATTTACCTGTTGCTGCCATCAGTCATTGTACAACCAGAGAGAGATACCTAATAGAAATGTCATTCTCTTGTCTTTAAATCTCATCACTAACTTACCTATAGAATAAAATCTCAAGTTCCACAGTATGTAATATATGGTCCTTACCACCTTCCCACGTCTCTAGCCCTTTTTTGGCCTTAACCTAAAAATGTCATCATCTTGCTTTGTCCTTATATAAACAAACACCATATTATTTCTTACTTTCCCTTGAATCTTGGTTCTTCTTTGGAATGCCAGTATTGTTACCCTAATCTTACTAATTAGCTTATACTCTTTCCTGAATCCCCAATCTCCTATTCTCTAAGAATCTTTCTAAACCCTGCAACTGGGCATAGTCTACTTCCTGTGTATTCCCAGTATACTCTTCTTTTGTGTTTCATTCCTATATTAGACAATAGAATCTTAGCCAGAATCATATATTTTTTTATCTGTGCATGCATGCCCATTGCCTAATGAAGTTCCTGACACATAGTAACTGCCCAAAGATTTATTGAGTGGAATCTCTCATTTTCCATTCTAAACTAATCTACATTCTGTCTTGCTCAGAAAATACTTTCAATAGGTGCCGTAAAATTCATGCCAAAGCTTAAGCTGTTGATACCATAGTTTGTAACATACAATGTTTTGTGAGAATGTGAAATAAATTTAGTTTTCAAAAACTACTAGGATGTCACTTATAGTTATTAAAGTAAAAGTTGGTATTCTTTATTATATGAATTTTAAGTATCTCACAAAGATATTATGTGGTATACTAATCTACACTCAGAAGAAACAAGGCATTAATTCTTACTGAGATTTACACATTCTTAATATTTTTTGAGTATCATTGGGTAAAGCAATATTTCAATATGGAAGTTGTGGTAAAATATAACATTATAATGCAGTTTGAAAAGTTGAACCTTGTAAATAACAGTACCATAACCAGATTTGAGTGATAGTTTTAATTTTTTATTTTCCTCTCCCATATTCTATTAGATGACTTTTAAAATAGTACTATTTAGAGTAAAATAAATAAGTTTTATGTTTTAAATTATATTTAAAACAAAGATGTAAGCAAATACTATTCTAAAATTTTTAATTTGTGCAAACTATTTTTTCACAGTGACTGTAGTGTGAATGTCACATAGTTGTTTGACATGATGAATTGAATCCTTGTTTTTTCAGTAGATATGGATAGCATTTATATAAAGAAGTATACTTGGTAATATTTAAAAATTTAAAGCTAAGTAAAAAATACTTTTAAAAAATTTGACAATAAAAATGAATTGTTCTTAGTCCTGAAAAACGTTAGGTTTAAACAAAATAATAAAAGTTATTACTAAACAAAATCACTTTTTGTTATAACAAAGTAACTTTTATCTTTGTGTGTGAGAATGATTAGTTCCCATATGAGAAAAAGGAATTCACTGCCCTGTGTTAGGTTAATTGTGGTATTTCCCTAATCATTGGAATGATTTAATTTTAATAGATTATGTAGAAAGGGGAGTTCAGTGAAACATGAGTCTAAAGGATTTGTCAAAATCTTAGAAGAGGGGCCGGGCGAGGTGGCTCACGCCTGTAATCCTAGCTCTCTGGGAGGCCGAGGCGGGCGGATTGCTCAAGGTCAGGAGTTCGAAACCAGCCTGAGCAAGAGCGAGACCCCGTCTCTACTATAAATAGAAAGAAACTAATTGGCCAACTAATATATATAGAAAAAATTAGCCGGGCATTGTGGCACATGCCTGTAGTCCCAGCTACTTGGGAGGCTGAGACAGAAGGATCGCTTGAGCCCAGGAGTTTGAGGTTGCTGTGAGCTAGGCTGACGCCACGGCACTCACTCTAGCCTAGGCAACAAAGCAAGACTCTGTCTCAAAAAAAAAAAAAAAAAAAAATCTTAGAAGAGGGCAATGTTATCAAATTCTTTCGTCTCTTAAATACTTGTATATTGTTTTTACCATAGAATCTGTCTTCTATCCATATTGTGGTTTTTCAGTTTTTCTGCTTAACTGTTTTAGTATTATTGGCATTTTTCTTCATTATAAAAGTAGTCGAAATGGAATGGACTACATAAGGATGTGTGATCAAAGGAAATTCATGAAGGGTAGGGGAGTTAGAGTAGGTCTTCTTTTAAGATTGTCACATTTTAAGGGTTCATGACTCCAAATTGTCACGTGTTGGAGAGCTAGAGATTAATCTTTATTATATCATTGGAAGTTTTTCCTTTTATATGTGTTAAGAAGGTTAGCATGAATAGATGCACACACACATAGTTAAGCTTTGATAGTATTGCTGATAAATTGTCTCTTACCATTGTTCCTTTGGGAGGGAGGCAAGCATATGTTTGTATTCTATCAGTGATGATATCAGAAAGTGGACAACATTAACGAGTACAGTTTGGGGACTCTGTTGGGGACATTTTATTCATTAGCATTCAAACCAACAATACTGGTTTTTAAAATCCTACTGTTTAAGTGTAAGGGCAAGCTGTTTAAGGGCAAGCCTCTCATTCCCACTCTGTTTGCTTCGCTTAAAATATTGGTCATGCTTTTCTGAATTATATATACATTGTGAAAATTAGTTAAATGTAACTAATTTTGTTTGAAAGAAAATTTTTTCTTTGAAAGAAAATGCTCTAAATTAATTTTGTTGAAATATTGTTGAAGATTTTAGTAATGGAGTAAAGGAGGAATCACATCAGTGTTAAATTTTTAAATTATTTTCAAGATAATATAACTTAGTGAATTTATCCATACATATTATAATATTTATACAATTGATAATATGCAACAGAGGTTATTTTACAATGAGTAAAAACTCAGTTTTCATTGTTATTCAAATAGTTTCATTTATACAACTTAATTTGTTGAGTATTCGTTCCTAAGACTCCCTCTAGTGTCTAAGTTTGGAAGTATTATTTGGTTAACAGGCTTTTTAAAATTTTTATTTTTTATGTATTTTTAATTTTTTTAATAAAGAGATGGTCCCACACTTTTGACCAGGCTGAAGTGCAATGGTGCAGTCATCGCTCACTGCAACTTCCAACTTCTGGGCCAAAGTGATCCTCCTGCCTCAGCCTCCTGAGTCCCTGGGATTATAGGTGTGAGCCACCATACCCAGCTAGATTTTCTTTTTATAGCTACTCTTCAGTTGGATAGATTTTAAAATACAGAGAGGATTATATTTTTTCTTCAATTTTTTTTATTTTACTTATATTTTTCTTAACAGATGACAAGAATTGACGTATGTTTTGTTGTATAATTTAAATATTGCAGGTTTAAAATCTGCTGTTCTACCACTTTCAGAGTGCCATTTTTCACATTATGGATTATTACCTTGAAAATTATTCTGATTTAAAATCACTTTTAGCCATATTGATTTAGTTACCTTCCTTTAATCACAAATAGATGTAGGCCACAATGACTAAATGTTGGAGTCTTTGAAGATAGGACATTTGGCTTTTTTGGCAAGCTTTTGAGTACCTAATGCATTAAACAGAAACTAAAACAATGACAAATAATCTCCTCCAAATTGGTATAAACTACACCACCATTCAAATGACTTAGCTCATTTCTCCACAAATCAGAGGTATTAAAATTTTCAAAGTAATTTTATCCTGTGTTAAACCTCTTAATGATAAGTATATGAATTGAAACTACTGTCTTAATATTATATTATTTGAAAACTGAAGTGATTGTTCAGATACTATTTACTTCATGGTAAACTATTGGAGTAAGTTCAGATATTGATTATTTCTTGGTAAGTTACACAAATATGGAAGGAACCAGAGCTCAAATAAAGCCCAGAAACTCAGGAACATTAAGTATACAAACAAACACAGGCATTTGGGTTTTGGTGACCAAGGTTTGCCAGTGTGGAAAACTTAGTAGCAAATTATGTTCTCCTGAGAGAAAGTCATTTGTTAAGCTTAAGATTCTGTGGCATTGATTATCATTGCCTATTGTGAAAATCAATGTTCCTTTATGTAAATAATCCCGTTTTAATACTTTTTATGTATTTCAGGGTGTTGATGATGCCTTCTATACATTAGTTCGAGAAATTCGAAAACATAAAGAAAAGATGAGCAAAGATGGTAAAAAGAAGAAAAAGAAGTCAAAGACAAAGTGTATAATTATGTAAATACAATTTGTACTTTTTTCTTAAGGCATACTTAAGTAAAAGTGGTAATTTTTGTACATTACACTAAATTATTAGCATTTGTTTTAGCATTACCTAATTTTTTTCTGCTCCATGCAAACTGTTAGCTTTTATCTTAAATGCTTATTTTAAAATGACAGTGGAAACTTTTTTTTTCCTCTAAGTGCCAGTATTCCCTGAGTTTTGGTTTTTGAATTAGCAATGCCTGTGAAAAAGAAACTGAATACCTGAGATTTCTGTCTTGGGGTTTTGGTGCATGCAGTTGATTACTTCCTATTTTTCTTACCAATTGTGGACATTGGTGTGAAACAAATTAATGAAGCTTTTGAATCATCCCTACTCTGTGTTTTATCTAATCACATAAATGGATTAATTACTAATTTTAACTTCAGTTGAGACTTTATGATTGGTTTTACTGAAACATTGAGGGAACACAAATTTATGGGATCCTGTTGATTCATCTTCTAGGCATCATGTCCTATAGTTTGTCATCCTTAATGAATGTAAAGTTACACTGTTCACAAAGGTTTTTGTCTCTCTTTCCACTGCTATTAGTTGTGGTCACTTTCCCAAAAATATATTTTTTCTATAAAAAGAAAAAAAAATGGAAAAAAAATACAAGGCAATGGAAAAATAAAAGGCCATTTCCTTTCCATGTTAGATAAATTACTATAAGACTCCTACTAGCATTTCCTGTTAAGGCAGACCCAGTATGAAATAGGGATTATAGCAACCATTTGGGGGCTATATTTACATGCTACTAAATTTTTTAATAATTGAAAAAATTTTAACATGTATAAAAAATTCTCATAGGAATTAAATATAGTCTCCCTGTGTCAGATTGCTCTTTCATAGCATAACTTTAAATCTTTTCTTGAACTTCAGTCTTTGAAAATAGTTTTAATTCTGGTAGTGATATTAAAGAGTATTTGGGCCAGTTTTAACTGCTTGGTAGGTGTTAAGGAGACCAAGGTTGCAAGGTCAGGCTGTGTGTGTACCTTTGAACTGGATTGAGAGTTTCACAGCATGGACTGCATCGTCATCCAGTGTAGTCAATGCATTGGTTGGTCAAAATGGGGGGACTAAGAGAGAGTTCGGGTAGCTCAACAAGCTGCATTCTCAGTATATGGTAGTTCTACTGACAAATCAAGAGTATCACTTTTGTTTTAAAAAAGAACTTTTTTTGTAAAAAATTAGTTTTAAATATTAACTTGAAAGTTGAGATTTTAGGGTGTGGGGTTGCCAAGACATTAATTTTTTTTTTTTAAACAATGAAATGAAAAAGTGTCAGAATCTAGGTTTGGCCAGTTCTCTTAACACTGGCTAAATTAATGTTTCATAAATACTTTCCAGGTCTGATCCATATTTATCTAATGTTTAAAAAATTAACATTAATAAAAAGTCCTTTAAATACATTTAAAATGTTACTTAATTTGAAATATCTGAAGTGAGATGAGATGGTGTGGTAAGGTGAAAATATCACTGGACTAGGAGGAAGGTGACTTAGATTTTAGATATATGTATTAGAATTCTGATTTGGGGCAAATCACTATCCATTTTTTCATGAAAAAAGAAGTCATCTCAAAGGCTTTGTTTAACTTCATAACTATGTGATTTGATTTACATTCAGTTTACATAAGGATATACCTGTTTGTCAAGCACAGCACAATCTGTAACTTTTTACCTGTGTTATCATCTTCAGTACCAGTCTTGGACAAAATTGTGCAAGAGGTGAAGTTTATATTTGAGTATCCATTTTCCAGTTTTAGGATTCCTCTCATATTAGTGTCATCTTGCCTGCCTATCCTTCCGTATGTCTCATGACTTCATGACATTTTTTTTAAATACTTTTAATTCCCCTAACCTTAAGATTTATTGCTGCTATGGGTATCTTCATGAAGATTTCCCATTAAGTTACATCAAAATGCCTTACAACTTATTTCCTGAGAGCTCAAAATAATCTGACAATTATTATAATGGAATTTGACCTTGTAGCTGATTTTCAGGTGGTGGCTGTAGTAATTTAATCTTGATCCTTTGAACATCATCTCTTTACTGCTTGGTCCATTAGTGACTAAGTAGGAATTTTCAAACCTGGTATGAATAGACAGAACTCTATCCAGCGGAAGGAGAATTTAATAAAGGTAGTGCTGAAAGAATTCCTTCAGTAATCTACAACTAGGACTAGCCCTGGTAATAGTAATACACGTTGCATTGTGTTAATAACTCAGAATCTTCTTACAATGAAAAATACTTAAACATTTAATTCATAAGCTTTTTTGTAGAATTCATTTATTCAGCAGATACTGAGTGCCTGCCAGATGCCAACCATTGCACAAGGCATGGAGGATATGGTGTCCCCAAACAAGAAACAATCCCTGTCCTTAGGTAGTGCTAGAGTGGTCTGTAATATCTTAGTAAGGCCCTAGGTGCATGACCCAGAGGTAACACAATGCATATTTTAGTTTTGCAAAGAAGGGGTCTGGTCTCTAAGGTTTCTTCCAATTCTAAATAATTGTTTTGCTATGATTCCAATGCAACTGTTTATTCAAGCTATTTTATATAAATCACTTCAACTGTTTTAAAGGAATAAACTTGATTATATTGTTTTTATTTGGAATAACTAATTCTGTTGTGAAAGTTGTAGCACACATTAAGTTGTGTGTGAGATACTAATATTAAAATACCCAAATATTCCAGTTTTCTCTTTTAAAATAGACTTTTACAAATTAAATACTGACTTCTAAAACAGTTTTGTTGATCTGGGTACGAATAAACAGGTGCCTGAACTAATTCACAGAAAAGGAAACTTGTGTAAAAATAAGATTCTGAAACACTATGGTAAACTACAGATTTATGGGAACATTGCCTAGGTAGGGTATCAAGGCTTATATAGTACCTCCTCTTGTTACTACACAGAGGAAGAAATGGCCATACTTCAGGAACTGCAGTAAATAACTGAGAGGATGTTTAGGACTTACGAATTTTTGATGTAGCTGGACATTTTTTTAAAGTAGTGTTAATTATCTTTTATTATGTGAATTTTGAATGGTTTAACAAAAGGTTTGTTTTTGTAGAGATTTTAAAAGGGGGAAGATTACTAGAAATGACAAATGTTATCTAATTATTACAGCCTTAAAGATAAAAATCCTTGTTGGAACTTTTTTTTAAGTACTAAATTACATAGTCTTAGGCATTAACATGTTTGTGGAGGACTATAGCAAACATATATAGAATAATTTGAGTGAATACTCCCAATTAGGAATTCTAGGCTCTATTTTAACTGAGTCACACTGCATAGGAACTTAGATCCTAACTTTTATAGGTTATCAAAACCTTTGCCACCATTGCACAATTTTGTCCTAATATATAAAAAACATTGTGAGGCATGTTAAGTTACAGTTTGCACAAGTTCATCTCATTTGTATTCTAGTGATTTTTTTTTCTTCTAACCATTTTTTTTCCTAAATGATCTATACATACATTCAGGTTTATTTCGTAGGCAGTAAAAACTATCTGAAGTTATTTCCATTTATCAAAAAGTAATAATTTCTTGATAATTACATAGTGATGTTTTTAAAAACCCAGCAGTTACTTTAATTTATATTTAATAACTTGTGTTAATATTGAGTAGCATGAATTCTGCATTGAGAAACTGAATAACATACAACTAGTTATAAGTTCTATCAAAATGAAAATTATTTCTTTCTAAAGATATTTATATTAGTTCTTGAAGAACAGTCATAACTAGATTAAGATCTGTGTTTCAGTTTAATAGTTTGAAGTGCCTGTTTGGGATGATGATAGGCAATTCAGATGAATTTAGGAAAAACAAAGTTATCAGCAGAAATGTCAATTACAGAGGGTTACCACCATCACCCCCCTCAGCTAACTGGGTTACAATAATACTTTATCTAAAAGTTTCCTATTCCACTGTCTTGTGTTTTCATGTTGAAAATACGTTTGCATTTTTCCTTTGAGTGCCAATTTCTTACTAGTACTATTTCTTAATGTAACATGTTTACCTGGAATGTATTTTAACTATTTTTGTATAGTGTAAACTGAAACATGCACATTTTGTACATTGTGCTTTTTGTGTGTGGAACATATGCAGTGTGATCCAGTTGTTTTCCATCATTTGGTTGCGCTGACCTAGGAATGTTGGTCATATCAAACATTTAAAATGACCACTCTTAATTAAAATTAACTTTTAAATGTTTATAGGAGTATGTGCTGTGAAGTGATCTGAAATTTGTAATATTTTTGTCATGAACTGTACTGCTCCTAATTATTGTAATGTAATAAAAATAGTTATGGTGACTATGATAGTTTGTTTTCTTGATGGAAATTTGAAACATTTGCCTCACTATTGATACAGAATACTTTATTAGTTATAGACACTATAGTATACCAGTGAATCATTTTTGCAACTTTTAAGTTAGAAATATTCTTTATTTATAAAAGGCACTGTGAAATTATGTAAAGGTTTAAGTGTTTGCTTAAACTTAAAACCATATTAGGTTTAGGTTCACTGCCTTCTCAACTCATTTTTAAGAAGATGCAAGACAGAGCTGCCTTTATGACAAAAGAATATAGAACATTATTACTTTTTATCAAAAAAGGTAATGGTGCACAATAGGTGATTTGTTTTTTAAGGCCGAAAGATAGCCAGCAGCAAAATTAATGGACATAATTGAGTAGTTGTGTATATAATACCAGTCATCAGCAGGCTATTACAAGGTCAAAAGTAATCTGATGACTTCATACATACTATTATTTCTGTAACTACATTTACATCATTACCAGGTACTATTTGTTTTGTAGTGAATTTTGAACATGTGCTATTAATGTGCCAAATTGGTCAAAAATAAGATAACTTCTTCAAAAGTTGAGGAATAAATGTGTAAGAAATTATTTTGCCTTTTAAATATGTAGTAAATGGCATTCTTTTGTCAGTAAAATGGAGAAATAGGCTAAGAATAATTGGCTAATCCTCTTAAGTTAGAAAATTTGAGTGTATTATATTTTCATTCAAAATTGGGTACTCATTATTTTATAATTGGTAGTATAGCTGAATTGCATTTAGTATAAAAATTGAGCATCAAGGGTTGCACTGATAAAACTCTCCATATGAATAGAAGTTGAAACCTATTAATTTTAGTTTAGTAGGGCAGCTCAGGTTTTTTTTATACAACATGTATATTTTCCCATTTTCAATTAGAATTATTTTACAATATTTGATATACATAAACAGCTGGCGCTGATTTTCAGCTTTCTAGTAGTAATGATCAGTTAGTTTTGTTGATATCTGAATAATAGCGTTGTTTCATAGCTCTGTATTTCCTAAGGAAGTATAAGGCTTCTAGCTCTTTCATTACAAATTCACCACGTCGAATAAGTTCTTTGATCTTCTCTGGGTCCTTCACATCTTTGTTTTTAAGGAAAACATTCCTCAAACGCCTTTTAAAATAGTCTGCTCCTTTTGGATATTCTCGTCCAAGATACAGCAACTGAAAAAAAGAAAGATTATATATGTCTAAAGAATACAAATAATATGTTTTTAAATTGGCAACATACTTACATTTTTATAAAGATTCAATACTTCTCCTCTTAAAGAATTGGCCATTTTCATTTGTCACATAAATTATCCCCTTTTATATATAACATACCTAAAGAAAAAGAAAATTTTTGCAAATAACTATTGTTGTCTTAAAGAATCAAAGAGAAAATATTTTATACATTGGGAAGATGGTAACTTTTTTTACATTCTAAAAATATTTATTGAGCACTTTTATGTCCCAGTATGGGGATATAGTTATGAACATGTCAGATAAGATAATCTGCTGTCACAGAACTTCTCATAAGGGAGACATAATAAGCAAAGAAGATAATTAATGAATTGTGAGAAGTCCTATGAAGGAATTAGGATGAGAGAGAGAAAATGGATTGTCACAGATAAGATACATAGATGTACCTCCTTTTATGCCGCAGAGGAATGAGTTAGAACTCATTTGAATACTAGCTGCATAATGTACAGATTACTTAACCTTGCTGAGCCTGAGTTTTCCTTATTAAAAAGGAGATTGTATTTACCCTGCTCTCATGGCAAGACCAGATCCATTTGAAGGACATTGAAAAGAGGTCTAATCAAATGTGGAACAGTGCTTATCCAGAGGGAGGTTAAAAACTAGAAAAAACTGGGTTTGAGCTGGGTGCAGTGGCTCATGCTTGTAATCCTAGCAAGCACTCTGGGTGGCTGAGGCAGGAGGATCCCTTGTGCCCAGGAGTTTGAAGTTGCTGTGAGCTAGGCTCACGCCATGGTACTCTAGCCCAGGTGGCAGAGCGAGACTCCATCTCAAAAAAACAACTGGGTGTGTAAGTCAAGCAGGTTAGAATCAGTGGGAGATGGGCAATAAGATTGGTGGTGAAGTGGCCAAATGAACAGTCTGTCATAAGGGTGTTAATGAGCAGGAACGTCCAGTGGGATAGATCATGTTGCTTTATGCGTAATTTGTTAATGTTACTAAGGAGAGGTGGCTCCTTAAAGGCACTGTGACAACCTGAGGAAATAATTTCCATTATTATAGTTGTGGGGATTAAATAATAAATTTCTAACATTGCATTCTATCAGGTAGACACAATTCCAATTTGTTCTATTATGTTAAATTTGATTGCCTGATTAAAGTGGTGTTTGCCAAGATTGTGCACTGTAAAATTATTTCTCAAGGAACCTCATCCTTTTAATGGAAAAAGAGTATTTACAAACTACAGCCTAGATGGAATATTTTAGAAACCAGGATCTGGATGCTAGAAATGCTCATTACTATGGCATTGTCACTGTTCCCAGGTCCTCTAAGTGGACAATGCTACAAGTGTATATATGTATAGATAGATGTAAGTGCAGTATGTGTGTGTATATATATATTAATCTATATAATCTGATACCTAACATTCAATTCCAACACTATAGGGTTTATTTTAGTTTCCTCTTTCCATAGTTTTAATGCTTTTGTCCAATAATGAGGAATCTGGTTCCCATTGTCCTCAATAAATTTACTTTTTGGATTATCACCCCTCGTCCGACTATGTAACCAAATTCCTGTTGCTGTCACCACTTAGCACACTTTCTCTACTCTCTGCTTGAGCTCTGCCACCATCCCACACACATCTTCTCCCCATTCCTCTAGTTCCTGTCACCTACCCCTCTTGGGCTCAGACAACTTACACTGCACCTCACCCCCCTCCTGGAAAAGCCTCACCCAGTTTGGACTCTAACAATCTGTGCCACCACCCCTTTCCCCCTAAGAAGGCCCTCCTCATCTCATGCTAGACTGCTGCTATGCACAATCCCTTGCCCTCCAGAGACCCTCCTCACCCTATTTGGGTTCTAGTACCCCCTGCTGGGCTGCTGCCTTGCCAACTTCTTTTCTCACCTCCCACCCCCTTCCCCAGTTGCCTACCTTGCTCAGCCCTACATAATGGCTTTGGACTGAATTATTCTGAAGGGCAAGCAGGAAGCAACTTATATTTTTTAAATAGCCTTTTAGATCAGTTTTAAAAATTATTTCATAGTTAACTAGTAGGAAATGTAGATTAAAATTATAGTACCACATTTTAAAAATTATATAATTTAAGTCCTATTTTATTTTGGTTCAGCCTTAAAATATAATAGTGTAGATTTTCACTGCGACTTTACCTGTCCCCCACCCCCACCCAACCTTTTGGCACTTTGAAAATTTACATCTTTCATAATTTGAAAGGCAGTGAGCCAGTGCTTTCATATATTTCATCTTTTAATTATACATAAAAATACTGCATAAAATATGTGCAAATTAAAGAATGTAAAATATACATCTGAGTACCCATTATTCAAGTTATGAAACAAAATTTTAGAGGGGGGTGAGGCACAGTGGCTCACACCTTTAATCCCAGTGTTTTGGGAGGTCAAAGCAGGATTGCTTGAGCCCACGAGTTTGAGACCAGCCTGGGCAGCACAATGACACATCCATCTCTACAAAAAAAAAAAAAGCAAAAATGAGCCATGTGTGGTGGCACATGCCTAGCTACTCAGAGACTGAGGTGGGAGGATCACTTGAGCCCAGGAGTTTGAGGTTACAGTGAGCTATGATTGGGCCACTGCATTTCAGCCTAGGCGACGGAATAAGACCCTGTCTCTAAAAAAAAAAAAATTGAAAAAAAATTGAAAAAATCTTGTAAATCCCCTTGTCCCCCTCTCAAATTGCATCTTCTTGTCCATCTTACCAAGATAAACTTTAAGGACTTAATAATTCTGCTTTACAATTTTCCTACCCATGAACATTGCCCTAAATAATCTATTTAGTTTTGATAATATGAGTAGCAAGCATGACTCTAGTAAGAAAAGAGGCAAGAATGCTGCTGTTAAATGAAAACCAACAGTTCTAGTCCGGCTTTACCTTCTTAATCAGCAATGTCATGAGTGAATACTTGGTCTTCCACAGCTCAAGCATGTGGAAAGATCAGAATGTAGAACTGATATTTGATTTCTGGCCAATATATAGCAAGAATAGGAGAGGAGGAAGACTATTCTCTGCTTTATGCTCAAAGCTCAACATCAGCTATCAGGAATAGTTTGAAACAGAAGGGTAAAAATGAATGTCCTCAGTTGGTCCAGTCAGCATGGCACAGAGAAAGCAGAAATTTCATTACCACATTGTCAAGACGGGGCAAGTACTGATTGGAGAATCTGGGCAAGATCCTCAGGCAGCAGGGATCTTGGTGACAAAAACCATGGATGTGAATCATAGCTTCATTCTGGACTGGCTGCTTTCTGTATCAAGGGGTACACAGTTGCACTTGGATCTCTCTTAACCATCTTAAATTCCTTTTGTCTATTAGTTATCCTATTTTTTATATTCCAGGTATTCCATTTTCTGGTTTTATTCTTGTTTTGGTGAAGCACATCCTCTATAGCTTCTTGAAAAGGGTACATGGAAGGTAAATGAGAGCTTGAATGTCTAAAAATGGCTGTATTTGTTTGCTAGTTTAGCTGAGTATAGAATCTAAGCCAGAAATGATTTTCTTTCAACATTTTGAAGCAGTTGCTCATCTAATTTTGCTTCCAGCATTACAATTAAGAAGTTCAATACAGTCTGGATAAGTGATCCTTTGTATTTTTTTTGCTCTCCCCGGAAACTTATAGAATCTTCTCTAGGAATATTTTGAAATTTTACAATGATGTGTTGATGTGGGTTTATTTTCTTCCATTGTGCTATATTCAATTGGCCCTTAGCAATCTGGACACCTATTTCCTTCACTTTGGGAAAAAAAATGTATATTATT